GTTTCTGCTGTGGTTCTGCCTGCAGCGTATCCAGCAGCTCATTCTGGGTTCTGACCCAGCGGTACCTGAACGCACCACGGAGCGGTAGATCTGGACGGAACGCGTGGAAATCAGCTGGAAGCGGAACCAGACCAACAGAACCTGAGCAGAACCTGTCGGATTAAACCTGCTGAGCTCGGTTCTGATCAGCTCTCTGGGTTCGGTTCGGTTCTGCAGCGCTGAAAGCAAACGGAACCACCTACCTGCTGGAGTCTCTGCAGACTTTCTGACAGAACCGCCTCGGTTCCAGAACCTGCTGATCAAAGCCCCGCCCCCTCCGATCCCACCCCTCTGGCCCCGCCCCTCAGACAGTAAACAGATGGACCCGGTCCAAATCCAGTCTCTGCTCCTCCAGGTTCGGTTCCTCCTCCAGTAGAACCGAACCTATCAGAACTTTCTAAATCACCTGGTTGTAGCTTCCAGTACTGCTGAGGTTCTGGTTCTGTCCAATAAGCTGGTTGTGGTCCAGCAGGGCGTGCTGGTTCTGAAGGAACCGGTTCTGGAACCAGAGTGAACTAAAGGTGGGCTGGGTGTCCAGAAGGTATCAGTGCGGATCAACTGGATCAGAACCATAAACAGAACCTCATTGCATCTGAAGGCGGTTCATTCCTGTCCTCTGGGTTTAAAATCGGCTCAGAACCAGAACCAGAACCAGAACCGGCTCCGGTAGAGCTTCATGGGTCCATAGACGGGTCCTGGTCCTGACCTACAGTTCTTGGTTCTGGTTCAGCTGTAATGTCAGTCATCCACCAGCAGAGGGCGGTCTCACCTCAGCCTGGATGGAACCGGAACCAGAGGAGGGGGCAGAGCCTGTTGCTAGGGGCAACAGTGCTGGTTGATCTGCTGGTACCGGTGGGGAACCGGACCGTGACACCAGACCGGATGACGGAGCGTGAGACAGAAGGACAGGCGACCAGAGGACTGGGTCAGAATGGCCTAGTCCAAGTCCAGGGGTTCCTCAGCCCAGCAGAGGGAAACCCAGGAACCAGAACCGGTCCAGAACCCCGACGCTGATGACCAGAACTGGACTTTTCTGAGACGGCCTGAAACTCCAGATCCTCTGACCTCAGGTCCCACCAGTCTTCAGACGTTACCATAGAAACGGCAGATGCTGAGGGTCCCCGGCTCGTATCGGACGTATCGTCTAAATTCAGCGTGACGGCGGCGGTCTGTCCCGCCGGCGGTCTGTCCTGCCGCCGGTCTGTCCCGCTGGCGGTCTGTCCTGCCGCCGGTCTGTCCCGCTGGCGGTCTGTCACGCCGCCGGTCAGGGATCCTGCAGCCATCGGTTGGTGGGAGGATCTCACCTGGTGGCTTCCTGTTTACCTGGATGAACATCGTATCCAGCTGCTCTGATGGAGTCACAACAATCCAGGACTAACGGACCCGTTTGGACTGGAAGCCGGTCCAGAACGCTTCTCCCTAAAACCCATGGTTACCATGGTAACCAGAGTCCTGGTTGCTTAGTGACCAGATCAGCACCAACCTTCCCCTTCTTTAAAAGCTCATTTATTCATAGCGACATGCTTTCATAGACCCAAATCCACCAGAACCGCAGCTGTAACCAATCTGGGTCACAAACAGAACTTTTATTATAGAACATCCAGTCTTTAAACCCAAACATCGGGAACCGGGCCGGCGCTCTGCCAGCTCCAGGAGCCCGTGTTCTGATCCACTTTATTCAGACAGGAAGAGTCCTCAGCCAACCACAGGCAGCTTCCTCAGTGACATCACTTCCTGGCAGCGCCGGCCCGGGCGCGGGTCAACCTGTCCATCAGCAGGCGGTCGGAGGCGGAGCATCTGGACAGGACCGCCCCCATCTCCGAGTCGTTGCGGCGCTCGATGGCTGCGTCTGCGGCCCCCTCCAGGTCCCTGACAGACGAAGAAGAGTGAGCAGTGGGCGGGGCGTCGTGTCATTGTTCAGGGGGCGTGGTCTTACCCGACAGCCAGGTGAGCTTTGACCTTCTGCTCAGGTGTGACCTTACTGACGTACTTCTTGGCCTCATGTCTGTTGTTGTTCTTCATGCACACCTCCACGAAGGCCTGAGGACACAGGCAGCAAGGAATCATGGGAAATGCAGTTCTACCTGACAGGGCAGGGGGTGGGGCCTGTTCCTACCAGGTAACCAATAGGAGACTTCTTGCTCCTGGAGAACTTCTCCAGCTCCTCCCACTGCTCCTTCTCAGCCAGAGACTTTAGCTTCAGCCACCAGAACCTGAAGGGGAGGAACCATGGATGAGCTCAGTAGAACGTTACCATCTGCTAGCAGCTACTGATTGCTGCTATTTGCTTATAACTGTTTCTGGCTGCTAATAATTGCTGCTAGCTGCTAATAAGTGCTGCTAGCTGCTAATAAGTGCTGCTAGCTGCTAATAAG